ACTATACGGCACTATAGACCCTAAACCCCTAAACCCTAAAACCCTAAACCCCTAAACCCTGGACCCTAAACCCTAAACCCTAAACCCTAAACCCTAAACCCTAAACCCCTACACCCTAAACCCTAAACCCATGGAGAAAGGCGCTGGCCAAAAGCCGGCATCCAGCGCATCAAAAATTGGAAGTTGCCCGAGGCAGGCCCTCGGTCTGTCTGGGTGTAGGAGTTTAGGGGTTACACGGTTTGGGTCTAGGGGTTTAGGGTTTAGGGTGTAGGGGTTTAGGGTTGACATGGTTTGGGGTTTAGGGGTTTAGGGTTCAAGGTTTAGGAGTTTAGGGTTTAGGGGTGTAGGGTATAGTGTTTAGGTTTAGGAGTTTACGGTTTACGGTTTAGGAATTTAGGGTTTACATGGGGTTTTAGGGTTTAGGGTGGGATAGGGTTGTAACATGGTATCCAAAAATCCTTGGGTTGTCTGGTTATAAAATAGGGGCCTGAATAATTACCAATACTATTTTGTTATAATTATAGTATAAATATACCCCCAAACCCTATTCTAATTATTAAGGCCCGTATCTTTAGGAGCTTAGACTTTACATGGGGTTTTAGGGTGTAGGGTGGGATAGGGTTGTAAGGTGGTATGGGGCTTCATAAGTTTATAGGTTTTACAGGGTTAGCCTGGGTTCAACCCAGGTGTTGAGCCGCGTTCGAAGATGAGGTTCGAACCTAGTCTAGGTGCCTTTATAACTACCTATAGTATTCTTCAGCATTCCTTCTTATTACTATGCGATCAAGGCGCCCAAAACCCTATTCCAATTCTTAAGGCCGCGACATTAAGTTTCAACAACTCTTTACTTGCAGAAGGACATTTCTGGGTCTCGAGCCGACGTAAAACACCTGTTAGGACAAATACTGCAGTCGTTCGATTTGGCCTCTTTGGTATGAATGCATTTTGCTTTCGCAGTACTGCAAGATTCGCTCAAACTTTCAATTTGCACCTTGCAGTCGATTACTTCGCAAACTTTGTGTGTACACTTTCGTGGACTGTTTCTTTGCAGATGCGATTCGATTTGCATGCAAACTTTGCAGTTTGATGGCAAAGTGTGTGTGCAAATTGCCCAATTATACAATCTCTGCGCTGTATTTGAAAAAGTATTGCAGCTCGACTTGCTGATCCTGTATCGGTCTGTCTGTTCGCATTCAGAAGCTTTTCGCCGGCGGGCTGAAGATGTTCATTCCAAATCATATTTACTTTCTTGTCGTTGTGTTCTTCTCCTAAAGTGTGTTTGTTCGGCATTTTGCCACAAAGAGCAATGCATAATATAAGGACCTGAATAAGTACCTTTTGTATTTGGGGTTCCTTTTTATAATTACGTGCATCATGGGCCCCAAAACCTTATTCTAATTATTAAGGCCCCTATATTACGGATTTTCCCTGTCGCTTGGGAGCCTGATGATGGCTGCATGCTCGAATGTAAAGTCATGCTGAATGTGCTGTTGCTTCTGCTGCTAATGCCACTGGTGATGAAGATGATGAGATAAGGATGCTGCTGCTGCTATTCACTATAGTGCTGCCTCATGTTCTTTGCCTTT